AAAACTAAGAGAGGTATTTCTCAACACTAACATCTTCAGTTTTAAGATGGCTTTCTCCTTACAGAAACCACTTTTTCAAAACTGAGAGAACACATAACTTGACAAAAGATTTTCATTTTAGCAATTTATATACATGAAAAATCCTGAGGCTATAAAAATCAAATGATTTTAATTAAACATGGATCAAATCACCTTTCTGAAACGGAATTAAATTACATGAACTGGAGCCTGTCCCCAGAAAGTCCAAGACATATGGCTACCAGACAATGTGAGGAAGAATCCTAGAAGTCCACCCAAGTTGTCTGCCTGTACTTGACAGCATTAAGTCTTTTGTGAGAAAATACTGGCTCTGTGTGGACCTTCTGACTGTCCCTGCTTCTATTGAACTTGGCTGTCCTGTAAATATTTTTTTATGCATTAACTTTCATAAAGGAATGAAGATCCCATCTAAAGCATTCAGTTTTTGTCATTCTGAGTTACTACTCAGAGCATCTGTCTGTGAAGGTGACTGCTTTCATTCTGAACTACACCCTTCCTTCAAGCCAGCATCTGGCAAACGCTGTCATGAATGTGTGATGTTTGAAGGAGACTTGCATCCAAGCACTTATTAAGCTCAGGGAAGCTGTTCTGCTATTTCTGCCCTGTGGCTAGGAAGAGACGAGGGACATGTGACTTGGGGTACCTCAAAGGGAAGCAGGCAAGCTTGAGTCAGGACTGGTGGACAGAGGTGTGATCGTAGATGAGGCGCGATCATAGATGAGGTGCTGTGGCATGGATTGTGAACGGGGTTGGGGTGTGAGAATGGTAGGCAGCCTTGCCAAGAATGGCTTTGTGGAAAAGGTGACATCTCAGTGGAGTTCTGAAGGAGGAACAGGTGTTTGCCAGCTGGAGGATAGCAAAGCAACACCAGCCTGAGCAAAGAAGAGAATGGGCAAAGGACAACTCCCAAGAGGACCTGCCTTTCATGTCTAAGAAACAGGAGAAGCTGAGTGAAGCTGAAATTTCAGAGGCATTTGGGAGTGATGGAGACACGCCACAGAGGCACAGAGATCATGGATGGTATAGAACCTTGTGTGAACAAAAGAGAATCTGGGTTTCATCCTGCTGGTCATGGAAAGGTTTGTTCATCTGGTCATTCAGTTTGTTTTCCTTAAATATAAATGGCATAACCAAACTGAAATTTTAGGAGGTTTGCCTTCCCAGAGATGGTCTTCTGGGACAATGCCCATGCCGGATGCCAGCATCACCAGGCTCTAAACAGGCTGCTTGGCCAGGCCCTACCTCTGTAGCCACCCCACATCTGCCCAGATGGTCTCCCTGTAATGCTCTCCCCCCTCCTTGTCTGTCTTTAAGGCATCATCTAAGATGGGCTTCCTTGCCTCAGTTTCTCCACCTGTTCTGTATTTTTCCTTGGCAGCCACGATGAGTCGTGGATTCTTTGCTTTTTTGTATATTCAATCACATTTATCAGAATGTGCATGTCCTTGAGGTACTGGTCTTGTGTGTTTCATTCTCTTCTGTACCCCCAGAATAGTGCCTGTTATTTAGTAGATCCTCAATAAAGTTATATCAAATGAACAAATTGATGTACAACTGAGCGAATCTGAAGCTAGTGTCATAGTCAAGGCCAGAAATGATGAAGGACAAAGCTAAGGGAATGAAGATGGGAATGGAGAAAAAAATATAGTTTTGACTATCAAACTTCTCAATGTGGGGACACAGGAATGAGAAAGGAGTTTCAGACAGCTTTGAGTTTGTAATTTTACAGACTCTGCTGTTGATAAATGTGGAAAAATGAAAAGATTGTGCAGCATTTTTGTTTTAACCATGGAAGGAAAGTAAGGACTATTGCATTTCATGTGTGGCTTGCAAGTAGATATGTGTCAGATACAGCGCTACCCTAGAACCTTCTACATCTTTCGGTACTGCCGTTTAACTTCCAGAAGAATTGGCTAATTTATTTTTGTTGGTTGTGGGCTTGAACTCAGCACCTGGGTGCTGTCCCTGAGACTGTTTGTGCTCAAGACTAGCACTCTACCACTTGAGCCACAGCACTACTTCCAGTTTTTGAGTGGTTTATTGAAGATAAAAGTCTCACGGGGACTTTTCTTTCCAGGTTGGCTTTGAATCATGATCCTCAGATCTCAGCCTCCTGAGTAGTTAGGATTACAGGCATGAACCATGGGTACCCAGTCAGAATTGGCTATTTTAACTGAAAAAAATAGAAGTTTGCAGGAAACAGGATAGATCTTTTACATGTGCTCCAGCACATATTCACTAAATACGTAATATTTAGTGAACACCAAATGAATGGAAAAAAATACAAGATAAGAAGGCAGGCAGAGAGGCAAGCCATCATGAGCCTTAGAAAGAAAGCATTAGGATGGACCATAGGCAGGTAATACAGAGAGGAGGTCTCCCAAGGACACACCAATATAGAGAAGGAAGAAAGAAAGAAGGATAGAGGAACAGAGTCAGTGGAGGACACTAAGAAAGAACAATCAGAAAGGAACTCTGGTGATACCCAGATATATACCGCATTCACCAGGAGCCATATGCTAAGTCATCAGGAATTCTTTCATGATGTTGGTACAGTAATGCTTAAACAAGATACATACAACAAGGGAAAGAAGGGGTGCTACAGACTAATCTTAGGAAGTCTGTTACCCAAAATCTAAACATAAATATCAAATGGAATTACAACTGTTTTTGCCATAGTTGCCAGGCAAGCACTCTACTCCTGGGCCATGATTCCAGTTTGTTTTTCATGCTAGTTATTTTTGAGATATAGTCTCACTTTCTGCCAAGTCACACACTTCAACCATGTTAAGAAATCTGCTGCCATAAAGCTCAAGTAGTGCATAAAAAGTACATAAATGAAAATCTTCACTATAACAGCATTTATAATTGCAAAATTCTGGGAAATGATGTAAATCTTTTTTTAAAAAACAAACAGAGGACTGGCTACATGATTATAGTAAGTGCATGCACACAGACAATATTTTTTGTGCTAAAATTGGTGCTTGAACTCAGGATTATACAGTATCACTGGGCTTTTTCATTCATGGCTGACACTTGAGCCAAAACTCCAATCTGGCATTTTTGCTAAATAAGTGGAAATGGAGTCATCTGAATTTTTCTGTTCAGGCTGGATTCAAATTTCAAGCCTCAGATCTCTGCCTCCTAGGTAGCTAGGATTTTAGGTGTGAGGCACTAGCACCCAACTAGAGACAGAATGGTTTTAGTCCACAGGCCTGACCCAAAACAAATCAAGTGTCATAGGTATGTGACCTGTGCAGTGGCCCAAGGCCCACATTTAGAAGGGACTTCCTTTGCTGTCTTGAAATCTTATTAATTTTATCTGTCAACTTCTGTTGTAGGAGTGGATTCCATGGAACACATGCAGGAGTGGATACAACAGGTAGAATACATGTCTTCCATTTCTGTTGCTCAGGTACATAGATTCAAGTAGACGTCTAATGCCTAACAAAATTAGCAAAACACTCAACTGAGGGGTGTCAACAGCCCTGAGAACCAAACGACTCCTTGAAGCACATCTAAAGTCACATGCAAAGAGATGACAACCCACGAAGCCCTGTCACATCCATTCTTCTCATGTTATTTTCTTGTATTAGCAAACCACATACACTGAAATGAAGACGTAGGAAAAAAGGGAAAGACACAGTAGCCCAAAGTTCCTTGTCCTTTCAGCGCTTCCTTACTCATCAACAAGATGAAGGCATTGTTGTTGGCAGAAGGTACACATCTCAAAAAAACTACGTCAATTTTGGCCAGACACTGGTGACTCATGCCTGTGATCCTAGCTTCAGGAGGCTGAGATTTGAGGATTATGGTTCAAAGCCAGCCCCAAAGGAAAGTCTATGAAACGCTCATCTCCAATAAACTATTCAGAAGAAGCCAGACATGGCACTGTGGCTAGCCTTGAGCAAAAGAAGCTCAGGGACAGCGCCTAGGCTCTGAGTTCAAGCTCTAGGATTGGCACCCATGCCCATGTGCATGTATGTACACACACATACACACACACACACACACACACACACACACACACACACCCTAAGTTAATTTTGTGCCCATTTTGGTAAGAATTATAAATGTGAGATTTTGCTGACTTATACACTTTACATTTGTACTTTCAACTGACAGTGAACAATATAAAGATGAGAAATAAACTTCATGTTAGTAATTTAAAATTTTAGGTTTTCTTTCCTTTTGACATAATGTAGGAAAAAAACCCACAACAAATGAGAATACAAGGAAAACCACCTTAACAAGCCAAGAAAGATCAAAGAAGAAAGTAATTTAATATATTTTAAAAATCCAGCTGGAAACTGGTGCCTCACACCTGTAATCATAGCTACTCAGGAGTCTGACATCTGAGGATCACATTTCGAAGTCAGCCTGGGCAGAAAAGTTCTCATGAGACTCTTATCTCCAATTAACCATTCAAAAAATCCCATAAAAATCCCAGAAGTAGCACTGCGGCTCAAGTGGTAGAGCCCTAGCCTTGAGCAAAAAGAGGCTCAGGAACAGCACCCAGGCCCTGAATTCAAGTCCCACAACCACCACCACCAACAACAAAATTCCTAGAGTAGCTCTGAGCTACTATACTACACTGACCCCTACAAATTATGCAGCAGATCTGTTTTCCATTCTTCATTTATCCTTTCTCTTTCCCTTTTCCCAACATTTCTCTGGAGTAAAAGTACTGCTGACATAAGATATGTTCTTGAGAATAAAATTGCTCCAAGCTCCTAGAAGGTTTGTCAAACACAGACTGCTAAGCTCCACTCTCCAAAGTTGCCGATTCAGGAGGTCTGGAAGTGGGGAAGGGGACCGCGAATTTACATCTCTAGCAAATTTCCTCTGATGTGGCAGCTCTGCATCACACTTGGAACCCCTGGTCTCAAGTATGCATGAAGGACATCAGCTTCTGACGTTTGCTGAAGAGCATAGTGACCTGGAAGGTCATGTTCTGTTACCTCATAAATATTGAATTGCTCCACCAAGTCCAGGTCGGTCCCTCTCTTGTTTAAGTGCCTCTGGGAGACAGCAGCAATGCCCAGTTCCTCCAGACAGTCCACCACGTCGTAGAAGGCATCTTGATCTGGTAATCCTGACAATGTCTAGAAGAGAAGAATCAGATACAGGAACATCTTAGAGCCTGCTACATGTCTCTGAATGGGACAGCCAGTGGTCTCAAATTATAACACTGTGGAACGATGCAAGAGCAATGGAAATTTCACTCGAGAATAAAACCTTCTTGGTTTGAGAGACAGAATGAACCCCATGAGCATGAGTCCCATGAGCATGAGTGGGGTCCCATGGGTGGGATCACAAACTCACAATTAGGTCAAGTATGCTTCAAAGTGAAGGAATTTTGTATGCATCATTAAGGTCCCAGTCACTTGTCTTGAGATAAACAAAGGGGAGGATTTCCTGGGTGAGAACTGAGAAAATCATTTAAAAAGAGGGCTTGGGTCTTCCTTATGTTCAGAAACTGAAGATTATCATTCTGGCTTCAAAGAAGGAGCAAGATGCCATTAGTTCTACAACTATAAGGGTATTAATTCTGCCAACAACCATGAAGCCTAAAGAGGACCTAAGCTTGCAAGGGAAGTCCAGTCCTGATTACCACTGTGACTGAAGCCTTGTGAGACCCAAGAAGACCACCCAGGTGGGTTTGCCTGGACTTTTGCCCCAGGAAACACTGAGATGATAAATGTGCTTTATTCCAGGATGCTAAGCTTTTGATTGTCTGTCACATGGAAATAAAAAATTCAGGTACATCATGATTAGACAGCTACTGACAGCCTTAAGATGGCCTTGTTTGTGGTCATTTGGGTAAATGCCCAGAAGTGGGATTGCTGGGTCATAGGGGAACTAACTCTATGTGTAGTCTTTGAAGGAACCTCCGCACTGCTTTCCAGAGTGTTGAGTAAGTTTACACTCCCACCAACAGTGTTGTAGCATTCCCTTTTGGCCACATCTCCTCCAGTATCTGTTATTAGATTTCTTGATAATGGCCATTCTAATGGGTGAGTTGAAATCTCAATGTAGGTTTTGGTTTTGGTTTTGGTTGGTCATGGGGCTGAACTCTGGGCCTGAGTGCTGTCCCTCAGCTCTTCAGCTCAAGGCTAGTGTTCTACTCCTTGAGACACATTGACACTTTGGCTTTTTCTGTGTATGTGGTGCTGAGGAATTGAACCCAGGGCCTCATGCTTGCAAGGCAAGCACTCTACCACTGAGCCACCTTCCCAGCCCTTCAATGTAGTTTTGATTTATATTTCTTTTATGGCCAGAGAAGTTGAGATTTCTTCCTGTGTCCATTGGCCATCCTTATTTCCTTTTCAGAGAAGTCTCTCTTTAAGCCTTTAGTCCACTTATTAATGGGGTAGTTGTTTCTTTGAGGATTTGTTTTTGGGGGATTTAATAATAGCTGGAGTCATAATAATTTAAATTCAGTATAGCTTGCCTCCCCTTGATCTATGAAACTTTGGGAAATGAGCAATATTAAGGCAGCAACCAAGAGACAAAAAGATAAATACAAAAAGTGGACTTCTCTTTTAATTCAACCTCTCTTCAAAGGAGGAGAACATATCAGACTTGATTTCTGATCAGAAGTGGAAGATGTCCTGGAATTTATTGCAAGTTCTTCGTTTCACAATTGAGGAAAATGAAGGCAGGAACAGAAAAGAGATTTGCCACAGGCTACTGAAATTGACTGAAAAGTGAGCCATTTGTTATTCAGATTGAGATTAAAGCTCAGGCTTGGAGTTGCCAGTCTCCTTTCCACACACATTCCTGCATTCTGCATCGATTATTTTAGCCTGGAATCTCAGGTAATGCCCTTTATTCCCTAATTCTTTCACTACTTTTTAATTTCTAAGAAAGCCATATAAATTTCAAAATTATTTTAAGCATGCTAAATTGGCTCCCCAGATATTAAAACCAGCATTCCATAAAGATAATCCATTTTAAGGCTATCAATACTAGCATATCTCTAAGAATAACCCAAATAATGGCTTTCAACCTTTTATGCTGAGCAAAGAGAATACAAGTATGACTAAGATCAGAAACTATTGAAAAGATGATCTTGAGGAGTATGAGAAGGGATGGGAAGGGGAAACAACGAGGAGGCAACAATGCTTGATAAGAAATGTACCCATTATCTTGCCCATGTAATTGTAACTCCTCTGTACAGTATTCTCACAATAAAAATAAATAAATAGACAGACAGACAGACAGATAGATAGATAGATGGATAGATAGATAGATAGATAGATAGATAGATAGATAGATAGATAGATAGATAGATAGGATGATCTTGCGGTTGCTTAACTATTCAGGAGCACCAATAAGAACACCAAGAGGAAATAGTGGTAAGTGGGTGCTCATATGTGTAGCCAAGTGTGAAAGAGCATACCAGCATCTGTCACAGCATAGCGGCAGTCAACACGGCATTTCCAGGCAACTACTGTCAGATGGGCAGCTCTCTACTCCCTGCACCAATTTAAAAATCAAGCACTTGTTTAAGGAATTCCATCATTACCGCAATCTCTTTCATTTGTTGGTTTTAAGTAAGAAAACAAAAACTAAAACAACCTCTAGAATTTTGTAAAGGGTGGGAGGAGAGGGAAATGGCAATTCAAGTTCTGGGCACAGAGACCATTAGAGATGCCCTGATGACAATGTGTACGACTTAACGGTGGCTGGCAAGTCAACATTTAGTATTAAGCTTTCTTCAAAGCATTTGGAGCTAGCAGGAACCAACCAACCAGTGTAGTTTTCTCTTGCTCAATCCACTCTCTTCCTTCCTTCTTTACCTTCTCCAGCCCCCAAGTCAGCTGAGGTTCTTTTACTCAGAAGTTTCCAGAACATTAACATCCTAGACCTAATCCCCATTACCTTAGTGAATCCAACCATAAAGAGTACAGAAGCAAGGGTTGCTAATAAATAACTAAACAACGCTATGTATAAAACTCAATAGACTCAGGGAGCCCTTGTTCAATAATAGGGTCAGAACGGAGGCTACCCTGGTCATTTGTCATTTACACTGAAACCTTGAGCTGAAGCCAAGACTGCAGAGCTCCAGCTTTTGTGCCTAGCTGTAGAGGAGACAAATACAGCTTCTTTTTCTGCCTGTGCAGGAGGAGGACAAATGCCAGAGCCGTCATGCACCTATTTTTGACTGCTCAGTTATTTCCACCTCACTCCCACCTGTCCTTGGGTATCTCCACCCAGTTCTGCACTGTTGCCCTCACTGCTAAGTTGCTGGCATCTGACAAAGGTGGCAGCTTTCCAGGCCTCCTGGGGTCCAGTGCCTTCTGGGAATGCCCATAGTAACCTACCTTGTTACTCACACCCTGCATCCTAGTCTACAAGATGGCTCATAGCTGAGCCCCCATAGGTGAAATTTTCTTACGAGGCTTAAGGGTGGGGTGGGCAGAGCATTATCTATCCTATTTAACCTCTCAGGGTGAGATAATTTTTGGAGATCTCTCAGATTTTCTAAACGTGGGTAGGGGGTAGGGATGTGGCTGGGTTGGGAATGAAGGTAGTAAGTCATTTCATATCTGTTTATCCAAGATAATAATTAACTTCAGTCTTACAACCCAAAGCAGGCTAGGAGTTATTGGTCTTGTTTTGTTATGAAAATGCCATTTTTTAGCCAGATGTTGGTGGCTCATGCCTATAATTCCTAGCTATTCTGAAGGCTGAGATCTGAAGACCTTAGTTAAAAGCCAGCCCAGGCAGAAAAATCCATAAGACTCTTATTTCTGATTAACCATCAAAAAGCTAAAAATGGAACTATGGCTCAAGTGGTAGAGTGCTAGCCTTGAGCAAAAATCAAAAACAAAAACAATTTAAGGACAGCGCCCAGACCCTCAGTTTAAACCCCAGGACTGGAACATACATACATATGTACATATATGTGTATATATATGCATATATAAATACACTTTGTGATTTTAAATTACTTCAGTATTGTTCATTTTGTTGAAATCAATATTCATTAGAAACCACTGAACTTGGAATATAATTTCCCACATTTCAAAGTCTACCTCTACCCCAGATCCAGATTAACATTTCGGTTTGATATTCAGTTTGTTAGCTTATAACATTTTACTCAACAAGCAATAAACATTATGCCAATTCAACCGAAACCAAAAACTCTGTATGAGTGACAGCAGTCTGTTGACTTTTTAAGTAAAAGTACATTTAAGGAACGAACCTCTTCCAGGATTTTCCTGGACTTCTAGGCAAAATAACAAAGAATGAGGCTGAGCTGCCAGAAGAGAAGGAGCAAGTGAGGAATTCCTGGCCATTAAATGCATCATGATGGCCAGCAGATGATGACACATACTGGGGCTTTGCCAGAAACTGGCAAACAGAGTGCCCATGAGCTGCTCATAGCCCAGGGACAGCCAGGCCTGGCCTCTACTAATAAAATAATGGATAAAGCTGAACCAGTATTACTGGGCAAGAGTGAAATTTCCATTTTTACTGAATTCAGTATTTCATAAAACAAGGCCAGTGACTGGAAAGGATAGAAAATAGATTAACTTAATCTTTAAAAAAAATTGCTTCAAATCACATGGAAAAATAAGCTCACAGAGAGATTTGAAATTAAAAGCAGAATTCTTAAGATTAACCATCAGAAAATTTGTGTTCATTTCCTTTCAGGGATATATGAGGGTTTTCTGTGAGCTCATCAAGCAAATATTTCATTAAAAAGTACTCATTACCAGTATCACCTGGGGGAAGAAGTATTACTATTTCGCCATGTATTTGTAAGTTTGATTAAGGTCTTTCATTTTACTACTGAGTTCTTTCTTAAATCACTCAGAAGAGTATCTTTGTTCTATGTTTCAACAAGTAATTCTCTAGCTTGCCATTTACCTTTAGTTATAATTTTAATTTTTATTCTACAAACAAAACCATCCACAATTTAATGCAATGACATATTTTCATCCTCTCTTGTGGAACCTTTCATATTAGTTTTATTATTCAAACAAGTTTTAGGAATGTTGCCAGTACCAAAATGGAGTTATTTATGTCAAACCCAAGCAAAACAGAGTTGGGAGGCCAAGAGAAAGGGCCTCTCACTCATGTATGCCTATATGAAAAAGTATTCAAGGGATTCTGAAAACTACAGCATTCCAGGAAAGTTGTTTGCAACAGGACACTTGCCTAGCAACATTGGCCTCCACCAATGAGTTATCACCAACTCCTGACATTCTCTCTCCTGACATAACTACAGCTCTTTGTTTTAAAATAGTCTACATGGATTTCTCCCATTTTTCTTGCAAAGGTTTCTCTTTGCCCCAATCCATTCAAATATGCCTATGGCTTGCCACTAAATGTCAACCTCAAATTGTGATCCCTAGCTATTCCCAAATAAATTCCTTGTGTCAGAGTCAGTCTTCTGTCACTCAATTTAAGTTGGCCTACTTATCAATGAAGAACCAAGTATGTATGCACTTATCTCTTTCTATATGGTTTTCCATGGTTTAATTTATTACATTAGGCTCTTTCATCCTTTTGGGAAACATCATGTCATGTGGTCAAATGATGTTTTAGCTTATTTCCATCCCTAAACATGGATGAAAATGCCCTGTCCGTGCTGATGTCGATTGTGTGGCAAGTCATTCTGAACACTGGGTCTGATTTTGGGCTCCTCCATGCCAGTCATCTTCCTACTGAGGAGGGAGCAGATTTCCCTGTTTTAAACACCTGGTAACAGGTACACTATGTTACTATTTGATTGGAGAAGTTGTGTCTCATTTATACTGATTTCTGTAAAAGTGTCTTCGGTTCATTAGGAAAATTATCTTTCCAGTTATATTCCAGGAAGGAATTTTGGATCTTTCTGAAGCCTTAATCATCACTGCAGTTGGTTTTGAAGGCTCACACCCAACAGCCTGGAAAGGCCTGCAAGATGGTTAATATTATGGCTAGCATTTGAGATGTGGCAATCTGAATGAAGGACCCCAGCACTAAGAGGGCCTGTCCCAGGTACTCATTGCACTGCTTCACAGCAGCATCTCTGGGGACAGGTAGAGAAGACTGGCTCGGCCCTTCAAGTACCAGGGAGGCACATGAAGGGAGGAATAGGAGCACAAAAGTGAGGTTACCATCATATTCCAGGGGTGGCATCCATCCAAGAGTCACTAACTCTGCCCAAGGATCAGAATTCAACACTCAGTGGAATAAGAGAGGCATGTTTCTTCCTGACTTGTGAGCTATTTCATTGGAGTAAAACTATTTCATTCTTAAGGAAAATTATCTTCAAGCATATATCTTTATAGTCATAAAATTCTTGCTGTCATTTTTCTGATCTAACTAACATAACCAAGACTTAAAAGGCTGTAGACACCTACAGCTTCAGGACAGGCATGTGCACCTGTGCACACATGTCATGTGTGTTCAAAAGGATTTTTTCCCTGGGAAGAAACACATTGCAGCTGGGATTCCAGTCACTGTAATAGGACACACTAAGTATAGTTCTCTGACATTCTATTACTTTCCCTGGACTTCTATTGCAAGGCACCATAAGCTACGCGTCTTAAAACTACAGAGAAGGGCCATGTTCTCTCTAAGAGTCTATTGGAAGATCCTTCCATACTTCTTCCTAGATTGAATCCTGTCCATTTTTGGCATTCTTTGGCTTGTATATGCATTATTCTGTTTCCTCATGACTGTCTTCCTTGTATACATATGTTTATACTGTCTTTTCAGTTGTGTCTTTTCTTAGAAGGACATCAGTGATGTCAGATTAGAGTACAGTCCAATGACCATGCCATGACAGGATTACATCTACTAAGATTCTATTTCTAAATAAGGTCACATTCATAGGTACCAGGAAGGTTAGGACTTCAATTCTACTTCTGAATGCACGTGGACCAACCTTGTTCACTAAAGTCATTGCATAAACCAGCAGCTCTGTGTCCACTCCATCTTTTTCCTCCAGGATTTCCATGATGTTGGACCAGGGTTTGATGCCTATGAGTAAAGCAAAATTAATTAAGACACAGTTGTCCAACAATACTCCTTATCCAAACTACATTTATCATTTATCCAAGAATTTATCTCCCAGTGATAGCGGTACCTTTCAGTCATTAAATCTCTGAGTACAATAATATCTTTAAGGTGGACTTGAACATAATCCTAATTAAGAATGTTCCAACACTATATCACACCTTCCAAGCCCCTTTGCCAAGAGTACTGAATGTTATTCAACATCAGGATGCCTATCTGCTTGCTTGGAAAAAAAATCTCCTTTAAAGATATAATTTTTTAAATTCATTCATGTACAACCTTTTGGGTCACACACTTCACTGAAAGTAGAAAAGGCCTTCAGAAGTACTCTCTGAACATCCATTAGCACATAGGGAAAGAAATACAGAAGTTCGCTGGTCACTGTAGCAGTGACTCCAAGCAACAGTGAGGAAACACCTGTCTAGCCAACCACTAGTATGTCTATTCCATCGAGGTATGAACACAGGTAGACTCAGCCAGGTATGACGTTTGGGAAGCAGTTGTCTTTGATAGGTTTTTAATCTAATGGAGCCAACAGAGCCAACAGACGGCTGAGTCTGTCACACAGCAAAACAGTTATCTTGCAGTGGGGATGGATGGCTCTGGAGGGCTACAGACAAGATGTGGCTTGGGGGAAGCTCTTCCTCAGCTTGACCTCCTTCTTGACCTCCAAGCCCAGGCTTGAGATAAATATTCTAAGTGAAGCAAACCTTGCTTTGCCCTTGGTTTGGAATGTGAAGCTCTTTCCTGCTTTTTTCTATAAATATCTCAAAGTGATATTGCTTATCTTCACTTGATAAAAGTAAATTTGGCAATAACCTCAACACAGTAGTTTCCAAATATTGGTCCTTGGATAAGTTATTTTAGAGTGATCCTGGCCTTGAGATAAAAGTTCCTCAAGGGCAGAGACAGAATTGTTCATCTCTGTACCATCAGCACAGTGGCTGGTTAGCAATATGTGCTCAATAAAACGTCTGAGGAGCAGTAATAGATATCTCTGAGAGGGCATGAAGTGAGTAGTTTGGAGTCATTTTAGAAGAATCAAAAGGTTGATGCCACATTAAGAATAAAAAACAGGAAAATTAAGAACAGGTACTTTCTATATAATGCAAAAGATTCCAATATGGCTTCCCATAGAGACCCAAGTTATTCTCCCAACAAATCAACAGAAAATCTTAACCTCTGGCTGAATTGCCCAGGCATTCAGAACCAGATGATCTCCTGCAACCCTTTCCAACTCTGAACACAAAGGCATGCTCCATCTCCTGCTAATGGAGGAATTATCTCCTTGCTGGTATTTATCTTGGAAGCTCACACTACAGTGTAATTGTCCGTTGAATCCCAGTAAAGTAACCACTTCAACTCTCACGACTTCACAGCTCACTCTCCATGTGCAATCCAAGAGCTCAAGGAACCTCTGCTTATATTTGCAACAGGGGTGGCTTCTAACACATACACAGCACCAGACTGCACTATCAAACACATACATTAGGGAGTTTTCAGTATGTAGCTCATAGGAAAAAAACAGTAAAACCAGAATTTCTAATGGTGCCATCAGGACCAGAATGGCTGCCTGCTTGCTTACTCTGAAGCCATAAAACCCACCAGGGCCTGGGAAAGGAAAAACCAAGAAGCAGAGACAGGCAGCCTAGCTGCATTCCCCTCTCACACACAAATGCATGCACATGTGTGCACCATTTAATCCACAAAGAATAAAACACTCAAACACTGGGTTAGTTTAATTGAAAAATGTGTTACTCATTTGTATATCTGATTCCCTTATTATCAAATCCTTAAAAGTTAAGGATTTTAAGCCTGGAGATGTGTATATATTTACACACTGCTGAAATGAATGTTCGCTTTCCTTTGACTGTTCCAGAACCAGACAATGGAAAATACTTTAAAACATGAAGATGAAAGAAGGAAATATTGGAATTAACAAAAACAGCTTTGGCAGGACCCAGGCTACACCCGTATTAAGTACAAGCACTTGTAACTTTGCTAGAAGTTGCCTCCCATCACAACCAAGTGACCTAGCTCACTCTCCTCACCACTATCACTAGTTTTACTCTGTGTGTGTGTGGGGGGGGGAGGGTGTTGTATGTGCAGACATGTTTGTGTTGGGGAGAGGGTATTCTTATACTAGAATCATCTACCATGGTGGCCATACCCCTTCAGATATCAGAGAAAAGAACTGAACCCCAAAGTAGTAGAATGAAAGCAGACTCTGTTCTTCTTAGCACCAAAGGAATGAATTAGAAGACAGTGTTTAACGATTATCATCTGTCTCTCCGCAACTCACTTGCCCATGCATCCTCTCCCCATATACTAGGTACAGGCATTGACATTTATGAACATAATTGATGCTTAAATACTTGTTGAAATAAATGTACTATATACAAGCAGTACTGAGCATTGTGTCTTTCAATAGTGGCACTCTAACATCAGTAGCTGTCATGATGATGGTAGTGTAATGGTGACACCCACTTGCCCAGAGGTGAGCCTTGGACACAGGTACCCAGGTCAGTCCTTCCTTACCACTAAACCACAGTGTCTCTATTCTAAGCACAGAATAAGGGGCTGGTGACCTCTGTGTTCTTATTTTCCTACTCTGTCACACCATTAAGTCGAAAGGAATCCCAAACTGTTACCAAACTGTCTTATACATGAGTTGGTCTAACAGTCAGACATGTGCTGGAAAGTTCTTTCCAGTATATTCCATGCCCTTCCACATAACAGATCCATCACCCCCCGTAGATACTTCTGTTGTAAACAACAATGGTGATACATCTAAGGCTGTGTCCACCTACAGCCTCTACAATGCTTTGCATATTTTTCACCAACCAATTTATTCTATAGCAGAACCCAAAAACATGGTCACTTGAAAGGATGGCTAGACTTCCCTGTTAATCATGTATGATACACATGGTCAAGAATTATGTCACATCTGATCACAGTACATTCAAATAAAAAAATAAAACTTCTTCAAAGGCTGTGAGTCCAAGATCTATGGCTGAAATTTAAAAATGAGTTATCATGTCTGGTTTTTTGTTCTGCCTCTGTGGGAGAAGCAAAACCACATAGTCTGAAGGAAAGTCTCCTAAGGGAGAGGTGGGCTGCAAACCAACTTCCTGTCCACCACGACAGATCAGACCTCAAGGGAAAGGAGTCTCTAACATAGTAAAATGATAATGCAAGGCTCACCCAAAAGATGAGCTTATGTTGCACTCTTTTCCTGTTGGGCCCTGTCCAAAAGAGGAAAATGACCACAACATATGAGCAAGAGAGAAGATCCGGCAGTCTTCAGTAGACCATGCCAAGCCCAGAGACTAACTCAAATCCACCCTTTTATGCCAGCCCCTGGATAGAAGCATAATTGGCTAGATCAAGTGAAGTATTCTAAGTTTTATATAAAATTTATTACTTACTACCTGTGGCAAGTTTGTGGCCCCCTTCAGCTTTTATCCCTTGCTTGCTAAGTGTTCCATTCTGAGTCCCCATAGGAAAATGAGCCCTTCTGGATAATTCATGGGCGGCCATGCATAGTGTTTATAAAGCAACCAGAGGAATTTGTTCTGGGATGACCTCATTGGCTTAAGGTGATAATGATTTGAGGACTTATAGTTTATATTGGTGGTTTTATTTGCAGAGTCCTTAAATCTGACAGTTTTCTTCTGTATTAAAGAGAGAGACAGAAAGAGAGAGAGAACTGTCTGCACTTGAATGTGGGACTCACCCTCGCCAAGAAGTGAGGGTAAAGTCACTTTGTGAGTAAAATTTATGGCTTTTTTTTGCAAATGTGTGCTGCACACGTGGATATTCTCCAGTCACCCTGGGTCATCACTGGCACCTGGGGCTGCTCTCTGGCCCAGCTGTAAGGGAGCTGGAGAGCAGCTTCTAAACACTCGAGGTGGAAACACACCTGGAAGTCATGTTGCTCTCTTCAGAACACCATGACATATTTATATGTTTAATTCCATCATAGGATTCTGGAAAGACTTTACTAGCAGTAAAATCAGATGATGTTATGTGTATGTATTATAAAATCACAGCCAAGACCACACATGTCCAAAAAGAAACATACTATTGAGCCACACATGATAAGCTATTTCTGAGTTTTTCCATTAGTGCAATTCCTGTTTTTTTTTTAAGCTGTTAGTGCTCAGTAGCAGACCGATAATAGCACTTGCCAAATGTTTAAGAAATTTTATAGGCAAAATCCATGAAGCTGAGAAAACAATCTATTCATTTTTTTTAACTTATACTAATTGAGAAAAGATGGCCATCATTTTGTCTTGGTAGAAAGAGTACAGGGGGCTATAAAGGAATCCTGGATGTGCTCAACAAAGTCAAGGGAGAACTCCAGGGCCATGAGAAGGCTGCCCTCTAAAATAGCCCCATAGTAAAGACCCTCAGGATATCCATCCTTAGGAGAGGATGATACAAAGCCCATCCGTTATCCTAAAATAACCTCCAGAGTTGGGAGATAGAGATGAGAGATGAGAGAAACTTGCTGTTTACTCTTTTCCAAGCCCTGACACCTAATTACTTGGCCTTGGGAAAACCAACATGGTTTCTGAACCACTGGCAATTCTTACTAAGGACTTTCAGCTGCCCCTCTGATCTGCTTTGGCCCATACAGCTCTTCTTATCTAGCACACCAGATGGCAATAGGCTGTGGTAGAGAGAAAAATTGTCCTGGTCTGGGATTCACCTTATGACTCATAGCCCCTGACTGTGCAATTGAGGCTTTGTCTCCTTCGCCCCATAGAGAGGCTGGCCCTGACCATTCCCTAGGGCTGGCACCTGGCAAAGTATGGAAACCCAATTCATAATCCAGGATAGCTTTTTTCAGAAATTGGAAGGACATCCTCTAAGCATTGCTCTTGAATCAAGAGTGCTGCAGAGTCCCCCATTTCTTCCAGACAGTTATCTACAGGCTGGCTTGTACATGCATGCACACACATGCACACACAACTATAAGGAAATGTTACCAGCATGCTAACATCTATTTATTGTCTTTGTTGTGATCAGAAGTGATTTCCAGTAGTCTTCTTTATATTGATTTTTTTTCTAGCTTTCTACAGAGGTATTACTGTTATAATCATGAAAAGAAAAAGCAAATTCTCTAGGTCTTATTTTGGTTCCTACTTGAGTCTTTATAGGATGCTGATAATAACAACTGTGTTCTATTAGGGAGGGACATAAAAGACAAAAGGAAAACATTCCCAATTTTAGCTTCAGACTTCATACTACCATAAGGGCCACAGGGTGTCACACAGTAATCCAGATCCAGTACTCAGTCTTCTCCACATGTGTGACACACTTGTCTGCTGGGGGCAGGTAGGTGCTTGGACACCAAGCTGAGAGAGGGAGACAGTGCTTGCAAACGGGGCACACCTTCACCAACAGGCAGGCAGTGATGACAGCACAGCAGAGCAGAGTCGGACACACGGGGACCATGTAAATGTATGAGCAAGGAAAAAAGGGAGGGAAGGGGCAAGCCAGGTAGGAAATGGGTACGGCTTGTGGTCCCCTACGTCACGTGAAAGACTGGAATGGACTTCGCACTCAAATGCCATTGGCAAGTTTTAGATGGCAAATGATGTGACCTAGTTTGTGTTGCTCTTTGAGGTGGAAAGGAACACCAGGTGGGAGTAGTGAGGACTCTGACTAAGAAGGCTCAAGCTTATCTATGGGGTAGACTGGATAAAGTGTTGTTGAGGGGAGGAAGAGGTCAAAATGACAGCACAGACAGGAGACAGAATGAGCTGGCTCTTGGTGGTTTCAGACAAGTGTCTTCTCTGTCCTGAATGAAGTCCAGATATGTTTCACCTCCACTGTCACACAACAGTGCAGCTCTAATTTACTATCTTAAAAGATGTTTCATGCCAGGAGATGTCCACACACAGGAAACTCTGTTTCAAATATGTAAGAGAGGTCTCCAGTACCACACATTGTTTTTCCGTGAGGACACAGCACAAGGACTGCTTACCTCTCTTGGCGTCAACAGCAGACACAGCTTGAATGAGGAGGGGCGCATTGGACTCAGAGTACTCCACGAAGACAAGCAGGAGCTTCAGGGCAGTCTTAACCACCAGGCGGAACTGGAGAAAAGACAAAATCATCATGCAGTCGTAGACATGGTGGTCTTGTCCACTGAACACATGGTCCCCGCCAGTACTGCTGGCACCCTGACTCAGGGGCCTCCTCACAACTGATTCCTTTATTAGACCTTCACTCTCTCGTTAGACCCATCAGCGGACACAGATATTCTCCCATTGTACAGTGGATGAGTTCAAGACATATCTTGAAGTTCTGATGCCCTGAGATGGACTTGAGATGGGATGAGCTAACTTTGGGAACCACTCATAACTTTGGGAACCACTCAGTACATGGCTGAGCCCTCTACTGAGTGGGGACTATGGAGGGGTAGGTAGAATGAGTGGTAGTGAATGAAAACCAAGAGTTATATTTTATAACATTTAATCCTTCTCTACCACTCCTGAGTATACACCTGAAGAACTCTTGCATACAGTGGAGATATGTGTGTTCCCAGTCCTCACAGTTAGGGTAGTTGGTCTCCTATCTCAGTAGCTATCCATTGGTTGGCACCTAGTGTTGTGTTCAATCTGCATGTGGAGTATAGAGTTACTTCTGGTGCTCTCATTCTTCCTCCTTTCCTATACTCTCTCTAGGAAAATTCATCCAGTCCCTGCTTTGTTTTTGTTTTATTTTGTTTTGATTTTCCATACCAGTCTTGACACCAAAACTCAGGGCCTGGGCGCTATCCCTGAGCTTTTTTTGCTCAAGGCTAGCATTCTACCACTTGAAGCACAGCTCCACTTCTGGCTTTTTGGCAGCTAATTGGAAACTAAAGCCTCACAGGCTTTCCTGCCTGGGCTGGCTTCAAACTGTCGTCCTCAGATCCCAGCTTCCTGAGTAGCTAGGATTACAGGTATGAGCTCCATCCTTGGTTTTTTGTTTTTTTTTTTTTTTAAAGTCCTTCAAGTCTAGGGGCTAAATGAGGCTCTTCAATCCTGTCTGGACTTTTGGGCCTTGTGGTCATATAACCTCTTGGAATCTCATTTTGCATGCTAACTGGTACTACAATTTCCCTATGGCAAAAATGTTAGCTTTGAAAAAATTATTTTTTGTTGTACAGGATACCGGGGTTCATCATGGCATTTTCATACATGTAATATAATGTACTTGATTGTACCCACTCCCACATTACCCACCCTTGTCCCCACCCATACTGTCCCCAATATATTTGGACTTGAAGGGACAGAAGTGTGGCCTCTGTGGCAACTGTTCCAAGCTTTGAAGGGTTTTTGACTGAATTCCAGATAGATGAGGACGTCAAATAAAGTGATTTCTGGATAACCAAAGAGTTCGTTGCTCGATCCTTAGAAGTAATGTACTTTTATTACTGTCAAGTCTATGTAGTAATGTTAATAAACCCTCTCTGAGGAGGAGCTTGCGGGTGTATTTTAATGATTAGTTAGCCATGCTCGCAATTAGTAGCAGGCATTTTAGCATTTGTGATACTCTTCTATCAAAAGCAGTTTAACTACCTAGTCTTCTTGTTGCTCATTTACATAGCAAAGCATCCAAAAGTACCTAAACACAAACATAGATTTAGTAGAAGCCAAAGCCAGAGAAACCCAAAATTATGAATCATGACAACTGGGCAATTTTTTAAGAATGTCTAGGGACCTCCAAACGGAGCTGTTACAAACAGAGGAGGAAGACGTGAATAGGCTTGTTGAGAGCAATCGAAAAGGAAGGTGTCACTAGGAAACATGGTTTCTTCATTAGAGTGACACAGCAGAGAATTGGGAATTCTGGGAGCCTGCGACCACGTCAGTCAAGGCCAAATAGCTACACAATGCTCAGAAGGAATGTCATAAGATGGGCATAAGGGGAATGCTTCCAAGGCCAGCTAATGAGGGAGATAGGGCTGGACAGCAGCCAGGTTTTCTTCCCAGGAAGGCATTTAGAAGGCTTAAACCACATAATCATAGTCTACCCAACTGAGAAAGTTGCCAAGCCTGGACTTGCTAGGGTTTTCATTTACTTGAAGAAAGGTCTCCAGTTTTAAATATACAAAGCACAGTTCCTTATGCTACATCTTCCCCCTTGAACTCCCAACTTTGAAAGTAAGAAAATACTGTGGAATTTAGTCTCTACCTAGGCAAGAGACAGAGGAACAGTTTTGAAACCCTCTCAATGATTCAGAGTTCTCTGAATGATTCTGCTCCTGTGTGGTAAAATGTGACAGGGAGGAACCCATGGCACTGCTAGTCTTTGGCATGTCTGTGGCTTAGCCAGGTACTGTGATGTCTGCAAGTTGGGGTCTGAGATGACCTGCTCCACACCACATGATAACAACGGGTTGGAAGAAGAAACCTCAGTTAGTCCATTCAGGCCTGGCAGTTCACCTCCAACAATGGGTAGCTCCTCCTATATCTTTGCTACTGTGTCAATTGTGTTCTTAGCCAGGGGCAGCAGATAAACAAATGTGCATCTACTCAGTACCCTGTGTCTGTAGGTTCTGCATCTGCAGAGTCTACCAAATCTGCAAATACTATATCATTGTATCTATGAAACAAGCATTTAAAGAGTGACAATTGTCCTACTAGCAATGAGGTAGTAATAGAAAATAAAGTGACCATACTAAGCCAGAGGAAAACTCAGGTCACAGTTTTAACAAGTTGTTCAAGGCCCAGCGTAGCATAGCCAGAAAGCATGAAATCCCGAGGCCTGCAGTCACAGAGGTCAATACTGAGCCACTCCCAGGGAAGCTGGGACCTGAGAAAGTCTCCCATGGTGCAGTCATAGAGGCCATACAAGCAAAGCAGGCAGATCAGTACGTACTAAAAACAGGGAGAAGAATAAACAAAGTCCAAAAGCTATGTCCTGCAGCTTACTAAAATGACCACTGACACCGGACCAACTAGCCTGGAAATGCTTCAGGTCCTTAGAAGAGAAAGAAAGCACAGGAACTTACAATCTGATCATGGCAAGCCAAGAACCTCCTTGATAGGAGGTTGGAAGGCTCCTGGAAAAAGAAGGTGGTATTAACCAGCAAAGATGCACACTTACATGCCAGACACTCTGTTTCATACCTTCCCCACTGTGCTTTCTATCCTATAGATGATCTCATTTTATATGTTAAAAAGACAATTCACCAAAAGGATCGCACAGCTGTGCTCAGCGCTGCAGCTCCAGAACGTCCTACCATGTTCAGCACATCTTGATTGCAATCTCAGTGAAGAACCACAGCTAGTCAGTTAGGAAGCGACTCACTAATGGCACAGTGGCCCTAAAATGCCCTGACTGTCCACTGTCGACTGCACTGCTTTACTCATGCTTTGTCTCTGTCCCCTCAACATTTTTATCTATGACACAAAATCATTACTTACTAAATGTATGTAAACTAAAACTAACACTAACAGTCAATGTGGTCTATACCCATAATTGCTCAAGAGGCTGAGATCTAAGGATCTTGGTTTGAAGCCAGCCTAGGAAAACAAATCTGAAAGACACTTATCTCTAACCATCAAAAAGCCAGATGTTGAGGTATGGCTCAACATAGAGTGACAGCCTTGAGTATAAGAGCTAAGCAAGAAGGAGAGGGCCCTGAATTCAAGCCCCAGTATCAGCATATACAAATAGTATTTAATATGATATATGGCCAAAACAAAACTCCTAATTATCTTGAGGCTAAAACTCTGGTTTGATGAGTGGGGAAAATCCTTGCATTTAGATAACAATCAATCACAGACATGGAAAAACGAAGAGAATGGTAGACACAGATGTGTGAATAAAACCTTGGAGGTTTAGTGGGTTGCAAGTTCAATTTAATCCAGCAACCAGGGCTGCTGCTGGAAGGCCTAACCAGGGAAGGTATTTGTAGAAGAATAATGGATCCTGAGAGACTTTCATATTACTCTTCTTTTTCCTGCATGCACAGAAGAGTCAGTAACCACTCTGAGGAAGAATTGGAAATTACATCCCAAGGACATCCATAGTAACCACAACTGGTGGCCTGGAAAGATTACAGGAAAACTGCCTATAAAGACTCAGAGAGACTGATCAGGGAAACCAGAATATATTGTCCCAGCAAGCATTGCACTTCCATTTGGTTAATAGCAGACAGAAAGATGCTCCCCCATAACAAAGGCTTCCCACCATTAGTTGTCAACAGAGGGCAGGCTACCTGTAAAGCCAACTCTCCCCTTCTGCACCGAGAAGTACTGGGATGTGACTCACAATGTCAAGAAGATCTTTAACACCACTTTGCCATCTCTTCAAGGCTAGGATTCTACAACTGCGTATTGTGTAATAAATAAACACTTCAAATCAAAGCCATTGTCACTCACCTGAGTGCATCACAAGCAACAGCATAATGGCAACAAGGCCAAAGGTCCTGGTCAGCTTCCACTCCTCTCCAATCTACACCATCTCCTGGAGCCCCAAGCCCTGCTCTCTCCTTGGGAACATTTCCTTATTCTCAAACCTAGAAGGTCCAAACCTGAGGCCAACAAACCCCAACATCCAATTTCTCTGCCCCTACCAGATGCATTGCTAGGTGCCCCATATCAACAGGGACCCTGCCTTTGATTCCTGCTGTCTTCTATCTACCTTGAAAAACCCAGTTCTAGAAGGCTAGTCCTCAATGGGCCCATCGCCTCACAGTTGTGCTACTGCCCCAGCCTCCATCCCTGTCACTTCCACTCTCCATCCCTTGCCCTTCTAAAAACTATTGTCCTAATGACAAACTTTCAGAGATGCCCGCAGAGTTGGGGAAGGGAGGGTAGGGCAGCATGCTTGCTCTCAGACAAGTGCAAGGGAAAGCTGGAGACCAGTGCCCAGCAACGTGGGGCACAGCTGGGTGAATGGAGTCAGTGGAGCTGACGGAAATAGAGCAGGGCAAGCAAAGGCAGACAGCAGTGGGGAGAAGATGGTTGCCATGGCATCAGGAGCATCTCAGGAGAAGTCATAAGAAGATGAGAGTCTCTCCCATGGAGACTCTCAATAGGAGACAGAGAGAATGACTGAAGGCCTAACTATACCAAACAAATCATCTTACCTCAACTAATTAAAATTCCACATACAGGAGAAGAACATAAAACACCCTGTGATAAGTCATGAGATGAGCATCTTACTTTATACCAGAGAGTTTAAAGATGGCTCTTGTAAAAAGAAAAAAAAAATGCTTTATTGAAAATACTTTGTTTCTTTCTCTTAAACAGTCACTATTTGGCTGCAAAACCATCCATTTGCTCCTCTGGCGAGAAGTCCAGAATATCTGCAAATATGTATTGCACAATGATCCTCTGGCACGTGGCAAAATCACATCTTGCTGCCTTTCATGGACAAGAAAATGAAGAATTATGAAAACAGAATGACAAGGCTTTTAGTAGTGCAGGCCTTCCTTTATCAACCCTGACAGGATGTCAAGGCAACCCTCCCAGGTTAAGAGGAGTCTGACTGGCCATAGAAAAGGCTAAGCCCTTCACTTTGCTGATTGCATCATTCACCCTGAGCTGGGAAAAACTCCTGTGGCTGCAGTGCTCAACTTTAGGGAGCTGAGGCTTCAGTCTCCAAACCTAGGGTCTTGGTCAGAGCATCCATTCTTATTCTAGACCCTTCACTATCCAGATGGGGGTGTCAGAAGATACTGTATTGTCTTTTATAAAGATGGGAGGATTTCATTAGACCTGTGCTGAAAAACAAAATCACAAACAAAAAAAAAAACCTTGATAGCTGCTGCTGTTTCTGACTTTCAGCCAGAAATTTGGGATCAGACACACCCTGGTGCAAAACCTTCATCTGATACCACACTGAGTCTAACACAGGCTACCAGTGCTCCTTCTAAGAGCACAGGCTGACAGGTCTGTCTTTGCCTGTCTCCATATAGTGCCAAATGCCAGCAGTTATTATGTACTTGCTTTGGATAAAATGAAAATTAGAGACAGAAAACCTCTAGCCTAGTGGTGACGACCTGATGGATGGGGAAGGAGCAAAGGCAAGCTCCCAGACAGCTCTGAGGTGGGTGCCCAGGAACGAGAGAGCGAGCAAGCACACTGAGCCTGCCTTCCAGGAAACCCATCATCCTTCCACTTATTTCTGAAGCTGTCACTTTCATTTCTCCACATTTTTTGTTACAAATGTGAGGAGGACTTTTCCTTTGTGCCTCTTTCCAGTTGTTTATTTTCCTTACAGAATGAGTCCAAAGGAAAATCCACACAGAGCTGTTGCAACATTACAGGCTGGGGACCGAGGGATTCATTTGTTATTCCTGGTTTGTTTTTTTCCCCTTTCTCTTCATGGTCTCCTCTCACTTCTTTCCATCTCTCCTTCTTATTTTTATTTTTTGTTGCACTTTTCTTCTCTGTCTTATCTCATTTGTGATGCGGCAATGAAATACTTAAGACTAGGTAATTCATTCTTTAAACAACAACAGTTTATTTCTTGGGAAGCTGGGAAGTTCAAGACCACGGTGCTGGCCGTACAGTCATGCCTCTCTGGTTCCAAAATGGTAGTGTGTTGTCACCTTCTCCAGAATGGAAGCAGTGTCCTCACATGGCAGAAGGCAGAATGAAGCAAACCACTACTGTAGCCCTTCTTATAATGGTGTTGTTAATCCATTTGCAAGGACGGAACCTTCATGATCTTAACCTCCCCCCCAAAAAAAGCTTGTGCCTCCCAATGCCATTGCATTTGGATCACGTTTCCAGCACACAGATTGGAGGGAGACACTCAAACCAGGCCACTCCTCCATCTTCCCCTGCTACACTGATTCACTTTCTTAATCCTATCCCAGCACCCCAGTCTCAGAGCTGTAATGAAACTATAAAGATTCCCTTTTGATACTCCTAATGCAGCCTTGGGAGAGTAAAACTGTCCAATATTGTGCTTTGGGAAGGGGCAGGCAGTTCTGGGACTTGAACTCGGGACCTCATGCTCTCGCTGGGCTTTCTTGTGGATGGCTGACACTCTACTACTTGGGCTACAATCTCCAGTGAACTATAATAAAATTTCTTATTCCAGCTGTGACAGGGACCAAATATTGATTTTAATAGTCAAATCTCTTCCCATTGCTGTAGGTCTGAGGGTTCTAGAGATCATCTAGACAGAGTTGGACAGCACCAGATGCACAACAAAAATTAGAAAAGAAAGTAAGGCAAGGAAAATTAGGAAGGGCTCCCAGCAGACAAACAGGTTGTCAAATATAAAGGTTCTCTCCACCTGGCTAGGCCAAGTGAACAGGCCCAGCATTTTTCCTCTTCTAAAATCCCCTACATCAGTTTCAAAATAGTTACTTCCATTTTCCATAGAAAACTAAGCCAAGAAGAAAACAACACATTTTCAGTCTCCGGAGCTGTTTCTAGAATGAAATAGGGGGCGAAATGTCTCAAAAGAAAAACTAAGGAGAAACATAAGGGCCAACCAAGGCTTTGAGACCCAGTGGGCATCTCCATGCCACAGACACATCCAGAAAATAAGCCCTCCTGCTAGGTGAGAAGAGAATCATAGGAGCCTGGGAAGCCTGAAAGGAAAGCCATGTTGGGCACAGCATCAATCGGACAGCAGCATCCCTTGGAAGGAGGTAATGTGAGGAGCAGGGCTAGGAGATGTGACTCAGAGCTAGTGCACACCAGCCATTAAACCCTTACTCAATTCAGTGTAAGTGGGTGACCATGATCAGGAATAATCTGAGTGTAACAACAGGCACTGTAGAGACTCCAGAAAGCTATGTTCATACAGGAACTTAAGTCAGATTCAAAGTTTCACATCTAGATCCTCAAGTCCTTCCCTGCCCAACTCTACTGCCCACTCCAGACACCCTACCACTCTTCACTCACCGTACTCCATCTTGGCAACATTTGCATATAGCCAAGGTAAGACCCCCCTCCCTACTCCTCTGCAAACTGACACTCCCTCCCGTGCTCCCAGCAAATCAGAGAGGACTATGCTAGAGCTCTGCCTGGCATCTTGCAGGTCTGGAGCAATCGCATGGATCTGCTTTGCAGGGTGTGAGAGCTCCCAGCTGAGGCCATCACTGGGTGGATATAAGCTAAGATCCATAGGGAATTTGCCTGGATTCTCACAATAAAACACTATTTACCTAACCTCAGAATAAGGGAGAATGATGCTATTCACTTGATAGTGATCTCACAGGGATGAAATGAAATCATGCTTGTAAATCACCCAGTGTGGTGCCTGGTGCATCAGTAGGTAAATATTGGTTACTTTGACCCTTAAGGTAAAAGTTGAAAGGCAATCTCAAACCCTTTCATCTATAGATAAGAATCTACACATACGTATGTAAAGCACTGAAGTACGTATAAACAACTTAATAATACAAACATGAAATGCAGGAGGTACGTCAATGCTACATTTATGGCCTATGTTTTAACTAAGCATTAAAAGCAGAAGATGATCAAGGCATTTGATTACAGCTTAAGAAAAGGAAAAATAAAAATACATTAAAATTTCATAGGCTAGTTGCAACCTAACATTTGTACTCATTTGTACTGAGATGGGACTTCAACATAGCTGAATAATGTTTCCGCAAATAAACATCTCAGAGGGGATAACCATATGATGTGCACACTGAACAAGAAGGCCAACCATAATTTTCTTTTACCTTTGACCCAATAAGAGTGTAGAGCCATTGAATGGTTTCGCTGTGGTTGATCACTCCATTCATCCCATCCACGTACAACATAATCTGGCCCAAAGCTAGAGAAAAGAAAAACAAGCAAAGGAACATTAAGAATTTATAACAAAAAACAATTCTCTTTCATGATCACAAGGGCAATGGAGATTTTCAGACTTTTAAGTGTTTAATACATTGAACATCAATGAGATACAAACTGAGCTCTGAAATGAACTAAATTTCAATGCAAAGAGAAAGATACACGAGGCATTCCTGGTATCTGGAAGATTCAATTGAGGTAGCAAACCCTCGGTTCTCTGAACCTTGGTGTACAGATGCATGCATATTTTACACATCTGTATATGTGTGGTCCCAGACAAAGCAAAGATAGCCACGGCATGGTGTCTGGGCTATAGCTTCCCACCACTGACTAGAACATGTGTGAAGCTGTTAAAAACAACCTGTTCAGAGACCCAGCCTGGGGTCAGCAGGTTCCAGATTGCATCCAACCATCCTGAGCTAATGCAACTTTATGCCATTAGGTTAAAAAAGAATAAACACACACTTAAGTACTATTTCTCATCCCTGTGGAATATTTTTTCTGATTAAAATATCAGAAATGATGAAAATGATCAGATTAAATCTTGCTTAAAATGACCTGATTAAAAATGTAATAAAGCATGTATCTTATGGCCAGTCTTGAATTCTTTGTTTAATGTCATTTTTCTCCACAACGAGACTATAAATTGAGTTATTTAAGAACAAATATGAATTCCATTTTTCAACTCCATTAGGCAGAATTTTTGCTCAAAATAATTGGTATTGTAGATAATGCCCAGAGAAATGCTGCAGACGCCTAAGTATTCTTACTTATACCATGCCCAATCCCCTAAATCATGTCACCAATAAAATTAACTTGTATAGCATTCATAGGTTTTTAGGGAACTTTTGTTTAGCTGGTAACAGTAGGAAATCTCGTTTTAGAAGATTGGAACATCCAGAAGAATAAAATTAACATAGTTCATAGTCTCATAAGAAAATCATTTCAGTATACCAGTAGGCTTTTATTCTTTTATGTATGTGCTGTCACAGATGTCTGTGAGACTCATCCCCACTTAACTATCAGAAAACTGGAAGTGGAGTTGTGGCTGAAGGTGGTAGAGCTCTGGCTTTAAGCACAAAAGCTCAGGGATAGCACCCAGGCCCTGAGTTCAAGACCCATGACCCCCTCCCCCCCCCAAAAAAATTCAACATAACCTGGCAAAAACAGATAGTATATATTTGGAAATCACAGGTTCATATTCCAGTTCATGGTGACATAGTGGAGATAGCTTTTAAATAATGCTATAAATTTCAAGCAAATTTAGTAGAAATGAATAATAGTAAGAGGCAGAATGGGTGAAAACAAATGTTGTCATTTTTTGTGAGTAATAATGACACAAAAAGCTCACAAAATTTGTGAGATTACAATTATCACATGTTTCTACTTAATGAGAAAATGCATGTAACATACAAACAAAACAGCTTGATGTAAAAAATATAATACTAGAAACGTATGCATATAACAGCATGCATATAACATGATAAATTAGTAATTTCTTGTATACATAGCTTATGCAAACTGATAAAATACTTAATGTCAATAGAAAGAAGGTAAGAGTATTTTCTAAGAAGAGATAAGCTAGTATATAATAACAACAAAAATGTGTTCATTTATAATAAAGTAGCATCTTTGTTAAAATAGCAAAGGTGTTTAGAAGAAATGACTAGGTTATCAAATGCTAGAGAAACTAAGCAAACAACTTCAAACTTCACTGATGACAGGGAAAACTGCTAAAAACCCTGCTGTAATAAATTTTTTTGCATTGTTTTAAAACTATTTCTTACTTATTTAGTGCTCACTGAATGCCACACCCTGAGGAGGGATTTTACCTGTGTTATTAATATTCCTGTGTAGTGGTATTGGTCCTATAGTTTGATGGATGAAACATGTCTCTGGCTGGCACTGTGGCTCATGCTTGTAATCCCAACTACTCAGGAAAAATGCAACGTGAGGCCAACCCAGGCACAAAAGTTCATGAGACCCTGTCTCAACCAATAAAAAGCTGGGTATGCTGGCATGGCCTATCTGCCTGTGGTACAGTAAATGCAAATAGTAGAGATGCTGTGTAAGCCAGCCTGGATCCAAATGTGAGACCCTATTTGAAAAGAAACTAAAGCAAAAAAGAGCTAGAGGTGTAGCTTAAGAGGTAACAGTACCTGCCCAGCAAGCATCAAGCCCTGAGTTCAAATCCTAGCACTGCCAAAAACAACAACAACAAACCTGACACTGAGAAGTGGAAGAATTTGCCTCAAGCATCCATCCCTCCCTTTCCTCCAGACAGAGTAGGTGAGCTCAGGATATCTGTGAGACTGGATCCTCTTTAAGGGTTTTTCCAAGCATTGTGATTGGAAAATGAGTGGACTCTTAAGTTTCCAAAAAGAAAGGGTGAAAACACGAGAAGATAGCAGAGTTTTCACTGAAGGTGCCATTTGTAATATCAAAATGACAATACACAAATGACTACCTATCCTGGTCCTAGAACTCAGCATGTTCAGAAATTTATGAAGGACATGTCCTAACCTACAAGTGTTTCTGACAAAATAATTAAAAAGTACATAAAGAAGAAGTGTCAATCCAACAAACATTCAAGTCTTTGTTGGGGAGGTGGAGAGGAAAGGGATGGTAGGGGGAAAATAAAGAAGGGTGTAACAATACTCCATAGGAAATGGACTCATTACCTTGCTCATGTAATTCTGTACAGTATCTTTACAATAAAATATATATATTAAGGGCTGGGAAAGTGGGTCAGTGGTAGAGCGCTTGCCTTGCATGCATGAGGCCCTGGGTTCGATTCCTCAGCACCACATAAGCAGAAAAAAAACTGGAAGTGGCGCTGTAGTTCAAGTGGTATAGTGCTAGCCTTGAGCTGAAGAGCTGAGGGATAGTATCCAGGCCCCACGACCGACCAAAATATATATATATATATATATATATATGTATATAGATATTAAAAAACATTCAAGTCTTCCTACATAAAGACAGACAGAGACTCAGGGCAGGGATGTAGAGCGCTTTACCCAGCATGCACGAGGTCCCAAGTCAATCCAGTATCATTTTTAAAAAAAAAAAAAAAAAAGGAAAGAAAACCCATAAAATACAAAGCATTATGACTATCTGGATATATGTGTTCCTACTTTTTCCTATTTTTCTATATTCCCAGTATAAGCACCATTACTGCTATACCAGAAAATAATCTATATGAAGAACAAAAACCAGGCTGGATACTAAAGGAAAGAGGTGCTTCTATCTGGTGTAGAATCTTTGACAAGTCCAACTCTCTCCTCCTGTGGAAATCCAGACTCTAATTCACAGAAGGAATCTAAAATTTAATACATTCTGCTCCAATTTTCCCTTTTCTCCTCCCCTTTCAACACACAGGGGGAAATGGCTGAGAAGGGGTTGTGTTCCATATTCTTTTCCTTGTTCTGAGTCCCCCTCTTGGAGAAGCCAATCCTGGGGCACCAGTTATCATCATTTTCCACTAAATCAGCCTGAGGAGACTGAGGACGGACAACTGGACTTTTCATCCTTCCCCTGGAAGGTGCAGCCTTGGGAGAGGGCTTTTCTTTGGTAAGGCTGCAGCCTGGCTAGATGATCTCTGCCCTAACTGCTCTGCTCAGAGCCTCAGCTACTGAGCAAATAAACGAAGGTCTGGAAAGCCTGGAGGCTGCTCTAGAAAGAGAAAGGTGCATGAATATTTGAAGACTGTCTCCCATCAGAATTTTATTAATGTATCACATTGTAAACTTCATGTTAATTGCAATTCAACTTCCTGATTGCACTGATTTAGCATACTATGGTGATACTTACTAGATCCTTTTTATCTGAGGCCTGATGCTGAAACAATCTTCCTGCAATACCCATTTCAGACACAAGATGGTGCTAAAGAGATTCAAGTGGGTTAATACTGCATTAGGATCCAAAAGTGCAGACCCACCAACCTGAAGGTGGGCCTAATAAAACTTATGCATGGGGGAAAAAAAAAAAGTACACTGAAAGCACACATCTGGATCACAAGAGCCATGAAAATTAGTGATTTGTGCTTTTAAGACGGCAGAGGAGGCTGAGAGAGTTAGAATAGTGTGGTAGGGAGACATGTACGTCTAAGGAAGGGTAGAGTAAGGTCTGGTGCAGTGACTCACCCCTATAATCCCAACTACTTGGGAGACAGAGATCGGAGGAGTAGTACATTCAGATCAAGCCATGGAAGAAGCCAACAAAATCTCATCTTGACAAACAAGCTGGCACTGTGGCACATGCTTGTAATTCCAGCTATGTAAAAGGCATAGGTAAGGCTGGCATCGGTGGCTCATACCTGTAATCCTAGTTACTCAGGAGGCTGAGATCTGAGGATCACAGTTCAAAGCCAGCCCAGGCAGGAAACTCTGTAAGACTCTAATCTCCAATAAACCACTCAGAAAACCGGAAGTGACGCTAGGGCTCAATCGGTAGAGGGCTTGCCTTGAGCTGAAGAGCTGAGGGACAGGGCCCAGGCCCAGAGTTCAAGCCCATGACTGACAAAAAACCAAAAAAAGGCATAGATAAGAGTATCTGCCTATTAAGTGTGAGGTCTTGAGTTCAAATTCTAGTACTGCTAAAATATAAAACAGGCATAAAGGGAGCATTCTTGTTTTCATACTGAAGAAATTTACTGTAAATATAGTTATTGGTTTTTCTGGGCTTCAATATCTCTAAAGTTAGAGGCTAGCATTGTTATGCCCACTTTCAGTAATAGGATGGAATTAAAGCAGTCCCTGACCCTTAGTGGTGTTTAGTGAGTGGGAATAACATAAAGTACTTCCTGAAGTCAAACTACTTCACCGAAGGCAAACACCAATCATGCACCAGACAGAAGCACAAGCTCAACAGATCTAAAAGACCCAGAGTCAAGCAGCTAACCTTCCTCGGCCTCCAGTTACAAAATGCAACGGAAAGAATGCTTTCCAAACTCAAAGTTATCAAGATTTTCTCCTATTTACT